CTGCTGGCAATAGAAATGGTAACCTTTTTCAGTGTGACTTCATCTTTTAGAAGAAATAACTTTAAAAGTTCTGTTTTAAATAACCAGGAATCTGAAGGCCAGCACTTGAAGATTGCATGGTACAAGCCAGCATTGCAGACACTGCAGCCTGTCCATCTCCTTGCTCTTTATCCCTGTGTTTTATCCTTAAGAAAACTGGTCAGAGAAAAAAATTCTTTTTTATTAAACAATAGAAATAAGGGATAACACTGAAATCAATTTACTGCAGCTGGTTTTGTACTCTGTAGTGTAACACTGCTGACTTCTGTGGGTGCATCTGAAAAGCCTTTCATATCCAAAGATTGACTCCAGGCAAAGGTGAAAACAAGAGCAACAAAGCAAAAGGAAATGATGAGTCTATTTTCTGAGAGGAGAGGTGGGAAAAAAAAAGATTTTCCTTATTAAGTTTAGCAGGGTAGGACAGGAAAGGACTGTTTTCAGAGAAAATTACTTTTCATCTTCCTGACTTTGTTTTACTCAGAGCATTTTTATTTCTTCAGTAGTAGAAGTGGATGCCAAGGAATATTTTATCCATCAGGTTCATGATCCTGAAGGTGCAGCTTTCCAGTGTGTCACTAGGTCTGAAATACAGCAAAATAAGCTGCTTAAAGACAGGGGTCAGCCTGGGCTTTGCCATCATCCTTGCTCATTTCTTGGTATGTATTAAACATTTGTTCTGTTGTCAGACTCTGCCAGTGAAGGGAATATTGCACCTGATCCCAGGAATGCTGGCCCTTGGCATTGGGATTCAGCCCCCTGAGGAGGGAAGGTGTCAGGGAACAGGAAAATTCTGAAAATTAAGTCTCAGAAGTGATGCTGTGCATCTCTAACCACAGCCAGGACTCTTTTCTTTTTTTCTGCTTTTGTTTGCTTTGATTTATAGGGGTGGTTTTGGAAATGTGCTGTATTTTTGAGGAGTTTTTTTAGCAGATCAATCCTGATATAAGTATTGGTCACCTATTAAATATTTATTGTCTACTGCCTTTGTCTGCTCTATCAAAAATCCCTTTCTTCAAGATTGTGCCTTAAAAATAACTTTCAGTCTATAAAATGAAGGGCTTAAAAAGGATACATGGGGTAATCAATGCTGCTTTGGTTGCTAGAAGTAATATCTTGTATTCTGAGAGAGATTTCCACATTAATATTGGATGCCTATAAGAGGATGTGGCGTTACAAAGCACAGAATTAAAATATCTATTTTATACTGTCATTCATCTTAAATCTTCCCAGCTGAAGCACGTTGCATTTTAAAAGAAATTAACAAGTTACCCATTTATTCCACCTGAAACGTCTGTGTGTTATGATTTCTTCTCTAGCTGTTGTTTAAGGTTCCAGCTGAAATGAAGGCTTTAATAGATACTGAATTTTCACATAATAAGACACAGCACATGCCCAGTAAAATTTACAATGGGCTTCAGAGAAAATGCACAAAAGGTCAGAGAAAGGAAGTGCTGTTATCTCAGTTTAATGAATAGAGAGCTAAAGCACAAAGGACACAAATAATTTCCTCACAACCACTCAGCAAGCCTACAGCAGGAATGAGAATGACACCTGCATCTTAAGAGAATCTGATGGCTTGATTAGCAAAAAAAAAACTTAAAAAAATTAAATCTCCCCTTTCTTTTTTACTAACTGGAATTGTTTATTGGAGTACTTTGTAATTCTCACATGAAAGAAGGTGTAGAAATAATAATGATTATAACTTTAAAAGCATGCTGGCTTGGCAGAGGGATAACACTGGGAGGAACTCTACTGGACTGGATTTTTGCACTTAGTCTCCAGGTATTTCTTTTAAAAGACAATTCTGATAGCTAGTACCAGATGCTGTTGCTAGTCTGACTTTTGTAATTGTGCTGATCTGTCTATACTGTGTTTTGTTAAAAGTAATTCATGTTCCCTTTCTATGAAAACTGGATGTTAAAGAGAGTCACTGCATCTTTGCTTCTGCCACATGACTTGAACAGTAGAAAACCTAATGTTGGATTTGGTTTTTTGTGATACTTAGTGTTGGATATGGTATTTTGTGGTACTTAATGTTGGATTTGGGTTTTTGTGGTAGTTCATGTTGGATATGAATTGTTGTGGTACTTAATGTTGGATTTGGGTTTTTGTGGTAGTTAATGTTGGATATGGATTGTTGTGGTACTTAAAGTTGGATATTGATTTTTGTTTGTGGTCAGAAAGCTGCCAGCACAGTCCCAGCATGGTCACCCCACATCTGAACTGCTCATCCTCATGTGCAGGCATGAGGTGGGCAGCAGAGATTTCCTTAGTCTCCTTAATTCCAGTAGAGCATCAATTTATAAAAAAATATTAAAAGGTAAGGTTGTTCAGGTGTTGCTTTGTGTTTTCCCTGTGATATTGCTTCTTCCCTGGAATTATCATTTTTCTTCTCTCTTAAATGCTCCAGGGAGCTGTTTAACATGTTGACTCCTATCCACAAACAAGCACATTCTATTTCAGCACAAACACCTCATTTTCTGTTCAGCACAATAGGCATGGCAGAAAAAAAAAAAGAGATTTTTATGGTGGAGCAACCCTCGTGTCAGACACCTTACTCTGCATTTTCCAAGTGCATTACATGTGGAGTCCAAGGTGATGACAGATACTCCTGGTGGAAAAATTGGCTTTGAGTTCTTTTTTTGTTAGCAGAGACAATTGCAGTAACAAGCAATGAGGCAGATGTTCAGGTGTCTGCCCAGTGTGTGACATTTGGGAGCTGCAGAGAGGATGTGGCTGTGAGCAGGGGGGAGAGCTGAGTGCTGAAATAGAAATACCTGCTGGTGGCAGCCAGTGCATTTCCTCTAAGAGGGAAGCTCAGGAAACCTATTTTTCCCTGCCAACAAAATCATTCTCCAGTGATTTTCTCTAGTAACACTTTCCCAAGTCAAGCTAGGTCAGTGTGAAGCTCCCCCTTTATAAAATTGGAAAGGGTGTCAAGAAGTTTTGAGGTATTGATCCATGATAGATGGTAGAAAAGTGTTTAGTGAAGTACTTAGGTGCTTAAAATACACACAACATTGCTGGACATCAAGGCAGCATTTGATAAAATCAGAGGTGGCCTTTTTACTCCTTGCTGAGTAGAGCAAACAAATCTGTTGTATTTTCTGTGGATTTTCTCACTGGCTTTTGAACAGTATCCACAGACAAGGGATGAAGTCCTTGACAGTGAGTGTACATATCTAACCCCTCTGAATTCCAGAGGCTTCGTAAATGTTGCAAATAATGGATTTGAATTAATAATTTGAGTTATTAATTTGAGTTAATGATGCAATAATCTTGTTGTACACATGATGTAGATGTGAAATTGTGTAGAAGCTCAGATTACTGGGACAACACTTTCTGTGCTGGTACATGGTTGCTGTACTGGGGATCACCTAGGACATGCAAGGAATTCCTTCTCTGAGGTGTTAAAAATATCTTTGATCGCTGCACTTACAGCAGGATTATTTTTTTAAACATAAGGCAGCATTAAAACTATTGCAGTGAATCTATTTGCATTCATGGGGAAAAAAATACAATCTTAATATTCCCTTTTTCACCCCCATGGGTATCATGTCATAATCTGCTTAACCTTTGTTTTGCCTCTAATCTGGTGTGGAAATAAATCCTTTTCTTAGGGATATCCCTTTACGTGCTAGGTAACTTAGGCAATGCTTTTTTTTTTGCTTTTAAATCTGTTAAAATGCTCACCTGAGGCAAAATTCAAAGATATCACCCTGTTTAAAAGACATTAAAATAAAATGGATTTTTCTTCATTTCCAAGTGTTGTACTTGATATATAATAATTTTTCCCCTAAAAAGTATATTTTCTCATTTCCTATTAGGAGCAAGAAATTAATTTAGCAGTGTGGATAGAGAGGTTGGAGAATAAAAGGGACCCAAGTCACTAAGGATCAGTTCCTAACTCAGTTGTAGAATAATCATTCTGGAAATGACGTCTGGAAACAAATCTGCATATACTTTCAGCAATATTCTCCCTTCTCCTACAAGGACTAATGGCTTTAAAATGAGAAAAGGCAGGTTGAGATTATATATTAGGAAGAAATTCTTTATTCAGAGGGTGGTGGGGCACTGGCACAGGTTGCCCAGAGAAGTTGTGGGTTCTTGCAAGTGTTCAAGGCAAACCTGAATAGAAATTTGAATAACCTGGTTTAGTGGAAGGTCTCCCTGCCCATGGCATGAGGTTGGCATTGGATGAGCTTTAAGGTCCCTTCCAACCAAAGTATTCTATGATTCTGTGTGATTCCTCTAATTTCTGTCTTTCTCTTCTCCTGCTACTTAAATAGATTTGTTTTTAGATCCCTGAATGTGGAGGAGTGGGGAGCAATAGAGTTGTTCTCTACCCAGTCTGCTGGTTTGTTTTTTTGGTTTTTTCCTACCTGTACACATGTTAAGGCCTTACCATTGCAGATGGAGCTCCTGCTATCACATTTCCTCATTGCCATTTTTAATCAGAACTGCTGGGCTCTCTGGCTACTGCCATCCTTATGGAATTTACAGAATGGTTTCAGAAGAGGAGAGCTGCTTTGAAGGAAGGTGTTTCAGCCATAACTGGTACCATTCAAAGTCTTTGCTGTGTTATTCCTTACTCTTTCTAGATTATGGATAATTATTTGTAAAAGCATTTCTTATATAAGGTATACGTGCAGTATTTTCTGTAAAATTCACTTTGTTTTCACTCTTAGCATTTTTTTTTTCATTTCTGTTCTTGTTACTGGGCCAGGTGAACTAGTTAAAAAGGAGTTTATAATTTTTCTCAGTGTATCCAGCCAAAAGTAGCTTTCTGTATAATGAGGGGAAAACTCCATTATAAAAATATAAAATATAAAAATATAAAACTCCATTATAAAATGGGACCAGACTTGAAAACCACATAAAGTACTCAAAGGAAATTATTTCAATCTTTTAGCTGATCTCAGCTTACAGGTGCATTCCTTTACTTTGACTTTTTCTTTCAGTGAGCAGAGTCCTGGGGAACTGACCTTCCTGCAGGTGTGTCACACATTAAAGAAATTTAAAATATTAATCAAGAGCAAATACAAAAACGTGCATGAACTGATGTGTCCTGAAAAAGGATCAGGCAGAATTCCTCACTGAAAATGATCTGGTCTTCATGGTTTAATTAACAGTATTGCACAGAGAAATTGAGGGCAAGGGAGTGATGTGGCGAGTGAGAATTTCTCGTGTTCAGTTGTTGCACACGATGCTGCTCCTCAGCAGTGGAAGGTGGTAATGGACAGGCTGCTGGCTCAGACATTAATCTTCTCAGCTACATCCATAAATGAAATGTCATGCCTAACAACTCCTCTTTTATTGGTATTTCATCTTAGCTTTCCCTGATTAAAATTAATGTCTGTGCATGTACGTATGAAAATGGGGATTAAAAGATCTACATATTCAGATGGTCAGAGATGGTTCACAAACACACAGAGCCCACTTTCAGAGAACAGATAGGAGAAAAAAAACCCAGCTGCAAAAAGTCAAAGCACCTGTTCTTAACAAACATGACAACCTGCCAAAATTTCATCTTGAGATGTGCTTAAGAGTGTGACAGAGATAACCAGAAATTACTGTGCACTGGGATAGCAAATTAAAATCCAGAAGTCAGTGAGGCCACAGGATATTGGATTTAAGACCATGAAGAGGTTGTCAGTGTTTTTGACATTTCATTGCTGGAAACATATCAGTGTACTCAATGTGTGGATATATTTAAATGCTAAAGCTGGGTGAAAGGCTAAGTCAAATCTGCAGGAAAATTTGGCACCAGAAGCAGCTGAGCATCCTCAGTTCCAGTCAGTCGTGGGGGCCGTGGTTATATCAATTTATATATGAAAGAATTATGGCAAATATTATTGCAGTGAAAAAAAAGTGAGATGTTTTATTGAAGTTACAGACTGGCCTTGGGTCCAGCTTGGTGTGGCTGCTCTGCTGGTGTTGTATTGATGGGAAGTAAAATGAAAGTTCCTCCCCAAACTTTGCCATGTGCAGATGTGGGTGTTATCACTGGGGCTAGAGAAGAGACACAAGTTTTACACTGAGTTCTCCAAGTGTTGTGGGTTTGTTCCAGGTCTTTTCAGAAAACACACATTGATGTTACTTCTCTGAGCACAGCTTCAATCCCTAAATTCTAAATCCCCTCCATTTTAGCTTGGCAATTAAGTCTGTTGAATTTTACTTGTCCCACCCTGCTGACTAATCAAGCTGAGCATTTTGTGTGTTCTCATACTTTGATCAGCTTTGACTATATCAGAGGCTTTTTAGAAGAATGCTTCAATAAGCTGTGACAGAAAGGGAAAATTTAAATGAACTTCACATGGACAATTTTGGGGGTGTTTTGTGGATTACACTGTGAGACATGACTGACATGCTGAAGCATTTTGTCCTTTGCCTCATGGACTTTATTAAACTTTTTGCCTTAAAAAGGCTGCTTTTCCTCCTGAAACATAATCTCCCATCACTTCTGACCACAGATCCAACCTGTGCTCTCTGACAGTAAATACACAGCCTCATCAAATCCCTCATCTTCCCACGTTTCAGCAATAATTCTGTGGGAATCTGAATAAATTACCTCACAAATGGTACAGCTGCTCCCAAACAGCAGAACTAATGAATTGTCATGACTGGAGAGGGGGAGAGGTGCCTTGCATCTGTAATCCCAGACAGCTGGCAGGATGGTGCCTGCATCAGGTTTAGTCACCACTGCTAATTACAGGCTGAGGAATTACAGCACTCTGAGGTTAATGGCTGGTAAACACCTGGAGATAACTTACAGCAAGAGAGGATTTGCCCTGCAGCTTAAAAAGGGGATGGAGGAACATTTTGTGCTGCTGTGCTGACCCTCCAGCAGTGACTGTCCAACCCCAAGCCTTTTAATATTGATGCATTCTGGTTCCAAAGGATTCTAAATACCAAAACTGGGGACCTTTCCCCGTTAATTTTATATATTTTTAAGCAGAAATATATTTTTTTAACACTTGAAAGGCAAGGGTGCTCAGCTGGAAGAAAGAATTCAGTTCTTATTCTCCTCCGTCACTACTTCTCCTCAGCTAAATCTGTAATGTCGTAATGAAAAATGTCAGTGGTGTGATGGTTATGCCACCAATAAAACCATTTGCTCTCTGTTTTTTATCTGAGGATACTAAATCTGACATGCCAGTTATATCTCCAGAGTGGCTTTGAGTGAGCAGTGAATACCAGCTCAGTCAGCAGAGTTTTAAATCAATCCTAGTGCTTTGTAAAAGCAGCAGGACCTTGTCAGCTTGGAAAATGTTAATGGACTATCTGGCAAGCATGACTTGAATTGCAATTTCAAACTTATATTTTACTATACTCATCATTTTTGGGTTTTATTATTTCCTCTCAACAGTAACTCTCATAAATTCTCTGGTAAACCAGACCAAGTGGTTCATGCACAGATAGAGAAACTAAGGTGATAAGTAAGAAAGGTAGGTAAAGGACACTAAAATACTGTAAATTTGAGTGAACTTTGAATTTGTAATACTGTAAAAGCTTTTGTGTTGCTTAATATTCATCAGCCTGAGAATTTTGCTTCCAGACCTGTTGCAGTATTCATCCTCTCTACTGTCTAACAGGGATGGCAAAATCAAAAATCAATGTGTGTCTTAATACTGTGCTACTGACATGCTCAGACTTGCTTTGATATCCCCACTTTGGAAATAAAAAATCCAAGAACAGGGAAAAAAAACCACATGGACATTTTCAAAGAAAGCTCTTTTTACTGATAAGCTGAAGTAAGTCAAGTTGTTTAATTTATCAAGATGACAACTGAGAGGGGATTTGATTGCTGTTATGTGAATAGCTTATTGTTAGCTAAAAGGGGGAATGCTGAAAGGTCCTTTAATTTTTCAGGGAAGAGCATGACACATTCTGATTTATGGACAAATTCTAATGACATACCCTGCTGAAATCTATAATCTTTCAAAAGTGATGAAATGAGCAGAGCAGTCCAAAGCGACAAAAGGTAAGTTTAATGTTCCTCTATCTTGTTATATCTAACTTCTGGAAACAATGCAGGAGGATATTGAAAGTGAAAATATGTGCAATAGAGGGTTAAATTCTTTATTTAAATTCTTTATTACTATTTGATATATTTCACTGAGGATTATTCACCTTTTAAAAAGTGAAAATGAACACATAAGCTTGGGTTTCTGGGCTAGAAGTGTTTCTTATATTATCTGAAATTTGTACTAAGCTTGTTATGATCTCTAAGTGAAAAAAAAAAATTAAAAACCCAAAGTTACTGCATTTGAATTTCTTGTTTCTTCCTGCTCTGTTCCAGTCAGTTCTGGTGGCATTTGAAGTGTCACACTATTTGTGTGTGAATGCAGAAGAATCTCAGTGTTGGAGAACTGTCTAAAATTCATCCCAGATCTCTCAAATTTGGCTTCTGTGCAGAGAGATCTTCTGTGCAGACATCTTCAGGCACAGAGACAGTGTGAAAAACTACAGAATATCTTTTTATAGCTTCAAAATGAAAAATGTAAAGATAAAGCTTGGTAATTCATTCAAACTTTAGAAAGTCATGAATATGCTTACATTTAGGTCACTATTTACATATATGGAAACCTCTTAGAGGGAAAGCCTTTTTATACATTCTGTTTGAGGCAAAAGTAAATTGCTGATAACTGTTAAAATTGCATTAAAAAAAAATCCTTAAACCAGTTCATACTATGGCTATCCTGGTTCCCTTCCTAGAAGGAGCTTTTTTAGTCGTCTTGTGCAAATCCTTTCAGAGCAGATCTCCTTGGATATTTTTGGAACCAAACTGTGTGGTATGATGGACAAATGCCCACAATTTTGCAAAGTTGTTTGGTTTTTTTATATTTTTTTGTTCAGAATTTTGTGTGAAATGATCTCTGGTAGCTGAACTAATTCACAAGACACTTGATTGAACAGAAAAGTGGAAGATAACAATTTCTTGTGCTCAGCAGTCCTAGCTGGAAGGGCCATTCCCAAAATTACCCACCCAAAAATCTGAGCTTGCATCTCCTAGGACAGAAGGGAGCTCACGGTCATGGTCCCCAGTGAAGCCCCAACTCTGTCCTGTGACAAGGGGCCAGGAGCTAACATGGGCTCAGAGTACCAAGTCCCAGGGGCAGTTTGTATTTGTATTTTCCAGGTTCAGAGTGGATCCTGGCACAGGATCCACTACACTCACGTGCAGCCACACAAGCTGCAGAGGAATTTGGCACAAATAACCCCCTGCAGCACATGGAACACAGCTCTGCTTGTCTGGTGTAGAAGGATTTATAAGTGCATGTAAGCAGAAGCATTTTAACACCTTTTTTTTTTTTTTTTTTAAGAAATAACTCAAGGACATGTTGCATGTTCAGATAATAATGATAAAAGAAAAGCTTGGATGAAACAAAATCTTGTAGTAATGCCTGTAAAACCCCCTGGCACTGTCAGCTTTTGAAGTATTTCACTCCAGTTTGCATTTATGCTAATGAGCACTTGAATATTTCAGTGGTTTTGTGTGTTTGCTTCAGCCTGACCCAATAGCATGCTTTTAAAATCTTATGCTCTGGCATAAAATCGTGCATTTTGCCCACTCTTGGAGCAGATGCTCCTCATTCCTCACTTTGAAGAGTCCCTGGACCAAGCCTGCTTGCAGTGTTGTGTCATTTTCTGCCACAGATGATGGGCTGCTGCTGTTCCAGGCATCTCTCAGATGGTCAGTGGGATGATGAGACAAACACCTGTTTGTTTGCAGTCTCTATAATCTGTACCACGCTTGCAGATGGTGCCCTGCACAGTTCTGTGAGGTATGTGCTAAATAGCCATGAATGACTTGGAAACAGTGCTGGAAAAAAATATTGACATTAAAACTTTCAGCGCTTCCACTCCCATCAGATTTTTAAACCTGGCTGAGCACAGAAAGGGGAGGATCTCAAGGTTGCAAATGTTCTGGGGCTGCTAACGTGCCATTTTTCAGCTTTGAGAGAAGTCTTGTGTAATACAGAAATGAAGAGGTTTACCCAGCAGAAAATAAGTGCTGCCACTTTATTGTTTTTGGCAGGAGATGGTGGTTCATCATTTGGACACATCAGGTACTTTTCTTGTGACTATCATATAATTTAAAATGACAGTGCTTCAAATGGTGACAAAATGACAAAGCACTGATCTGTGGTGGAAGTCTAGCATGGAGAGAGAGCTGCAGCCAGGCAAAATTATTTTGAAAGGGAGTTGGAAGAGCACATTGCTTTGGGTTTATTTATTTGCTGGGCTTTGCCTTTGCTGATTCACTAGCAGGGACCCAGGAGCTGTGAACCTTGGCATGAATGTCCCCAGTTTGTGGGGTATTGTGTCCATGGCTCTCTGCTCCAACATTGGAGAACTTGTTTATACAACATTGTCATCCCTGTGAAAAACTGCTGAAATCAAACCTGGTGCATTGCTGTGGTTGGAGTGCTTATATCCAACCACTTTGTAAAGGAAGAAATTCAGGGTTAAAACTCACTTGCTGGCTTGAATTGTCACAGTTACTTTTGAGATTCTCATGTAGCAGAGAATTTGCATTTTGGAGATATATGTTCAGCTGAATTTCCACAGCCGTAGAAATTCCTGTGAGCGCACAAGTTGCCCTGGGACAAACACTGTGAGCTGGTCAGTGTCAATAGCTGATGGCAGGAAAGTATCCGTGTGTGTGAAAATTCACTGCTGCCTTCAGAGATCCATAATCCTACAGACATTTTTTTTCTCAGGGAATTGAGTGCATCTTAGAGATTATAATGAAGATAGATTTTTTTTTCCCTACCAAAAAAAAAAGTTGAACAATAGTGTATGTTATAAATATAGTGATTATATGAAGTCTAGTAAAAGTCCATCCTAACTAAAGCACATTCCTTTCAGCAAGGACTGAAGTTGAATGGACACCTTGTGAAGGCTGACCTAGAACAGAGGCTGGGCAGAGTTAAAGAATAAAGCAGGGATTTATTAAAAGGCCTCAATGGATCCACCTTGGGCAGCACAAGAGCCCAGCCAGGGCTGCACCCAAGATGGACCCAAATGGTCACAAAATGGACAACTGGTCACAGGGTCTGTCACTTCTATAAGTTCTGGTCCATTTGCATATTGGAGTTAATTGTCCAATTCCAGCTTTAGGTTATGCAGTACCATCCTGCTTGTTTTCCTCTGTTCATTCTGCTGTTTATGTTCTTGGGCCTGAGATTTGGATCATTTGTCCTTGATCCCCAGCTAGAGAAGGAATTGTTTTGTCTCCCTGCTCTGTGAAGAGAGCTCACCAACACTTAATATGGAGCTCAGAATTACACACTAAAGCAGTACAGAATCTGAAAAATATAACAGCTAAAACCTGAGGCATCAAAATGAGATTCTTGAAGTGTACAAACATGTACCAGAGGAGTGTTAATGGATGACATTGCTGTCTTAGAAACTGGAGCTGTTGCTAAAATGTAACACAGCTGTTTAAACTGAAATTAATAGACAGAAATAATGTACTACTTCATTTTTCTTAAGTCATTTTCACTGCTGTTCCCAGGGGAGGCTGTGGATGTGGGATTGATTTACAGCGAGGAGGATTATCCTGCTGCTCATCCTCCCAATGGGTTTCCTCTAAAAGCATTCCTGCCCTCCTTCCCACCCCATGGCCCTGCTGGGCTGCAGGGGAGGCACATGTGGGGAGCTGGAGGAAGGTGTCCAAACAAACCCCCCAGCTTTAACCCAGCCAAGGGAATTTTTTCTGTGCTGCCCCTGTTACTCAGTGTAGAAATCACTAATACTGATGTTCCTTTTCCCTGGTCATTCAGGAGATGTGAATTACCTGGCTGACTGGATGGTCCGTGCTTGTGGTTTACAGGTTGGAACAATTGAGTGCCTGTAACCAACTCTAAAATGCCACCAATGGAACAATATCATGACTGGAGCTGCCCAGTGTCCTTCAGATTAACAAGTGGCTCTGTAAGTACTGTCCTGGTGGGAATTCTAAAAGGCAAAGCCAGCTCCTGTGGATGGTGGGAGCTTGGTCAGCAAATGACATGGTGGTAAAGAAAAAGCTTTTGTGCTTAGGAATTGTTCTATGGCTGTGTTCAGTTTGAACTTCTCTCATGTTTTTTGTGATTTATATATATATATTTCTAAACAAAGATAAACTGTCAGCCCTCCTAAAAGGGCTCATACATGCCCCTTTGGAACAAAGCATTAAATCCCCAATCCATCTGTGCTGCAGGAGACTCAGATTTGCCAAGCACTGCTTCAAAACTCAGGCTGGTGAGACTGGTCAGTGATGCACTTTAGAGATTTAAAATATCTTGCTTCTACCTTGCAGCCTGTGGTTTTAATCTTCTGTGGAGCTGTGCTGAACAGAGCAGCTGGCCTGTAATTGGGGGAGATTGCTGCAGCCATTTATCTCTGTGGGTGTTACTCCTGTTCTCAGCATTATTGCAGTTAAAATGGTTATCATTTTCATCCATAGTGTCTTCCTAAGACAAAAATAAGCATGTGCCACTTACCTTTTAAGTGTTATTGAATCATTTTTGAATCATTTCAGTATAGAATGATTTACTTGTTTTTTTTCCTTGTTTTTTTTTTTCCTGCTGATCCGTGACCATAGCCCAGGAGCAGTTGTGCATTGGTATCACTCTCACGCTATTTAGCAGAAAGAAGAAAGGCCTAAATAAGCTTAAAAGTTTCTGATGACCATGACTGGAGTGTCAAAATCCTTTAACAATCAAAAAAAAATTAAAATTATTTTATAACCGTGCATCTAAATTCTACAGGTTATTCAGCTCTTGTTAAACTGCCTGCTTTTCATGCCATATTACTGTTTTCTTCTACCTCTGAATGGCCCTGGGCAGGGGCCCTTTTGTTGAGTCAGTCATTTCCTAACTCACGAAATTGGGAAGCCATAGGGGATGGTCAGAATTCAGGTGAGTTTTGGCAGAGGGCTTGTACAAACAGATTAGGGTATGAAAAATCTGATTTCAATCATTATCTGTAGAAAATATTTCTAGTGGGACCTTATATGGTCCAATTATCAGTCTGGGTGTGATCTGCATCTGCCAAGGTTAATAAGGGTGTTTCTTTTGACTTTGGTGAACTTTAGCATCCTCATCCCTTAAGTGGGGCCATTGCTGTCTTGTTTGTCTTCTCTTTCTAACAAACTGGCAATGCCTAATGTACATTTAGGAAAAACAAAACACTTGTGGCTGTGGCAGCACACAAGTAATGCTATTAATGCAGGAAGAAAAACCTTCTGAAGGTCAAGTTACCACACATCCAAACTCCGGAAAGCATTTGTCATGCCCTGGGAATTGAGCTGAAATCTGACCCATCTTGGAGAACAAATCACCACAGAAAGAACACATTAGGATATCTCTCCCTGTGGAGCTGATTTCCTGGAAGCAGCATTAGGTATGGTGTGGATGATGGTGTTCTGGGAGGAGGTTTGTGACTGAAAAGCAGCAGGGAAGAGCAGGAAATGCAGGAGAGCTCACAGAGGGAGGGAGGGCAGCTCAGGGGAAAGCTGGACCCCTCTTCAGGTGTGTCCTCATAAATGGCAGCACGTGGACCTCATTCTCAAAGATTTAATGCCTCTACTTTACATTGTAATGTACAAATAATATCAGCTCCATTAAGACTTTAAAATAGGAAGGAAGAGGATGAGTAATCCTGATGTTGCTCCCATATTAGAGCTCCTTGTACTGCAAACTCCACGTAAGTAAAAAATGAGAACATTTGACTGTTTCATAAAGCAAAGCATGTTTGATAGTGCTATATCATAAAACCCTTATCTTTTGGACAGCTGAGTGTGGTAGTTGTAAAAGTGTCTGATTTATGCTAGGAATTCTCTGTGTTCATAAGTTGTAATTGCTTTTATTACTTGTAACTCAGAGCAGGTGTGCATAGAAAGAAATCAGTAATTTCTCCTCTGGCCACATGATTTCATGTAACCCAGCCAAGCCCCTCTGCACACAGAAAGAAAGCAAAGCCCCAGGATGAAAGCTCTGCCTGGGATTACCTGGAATTAAATGGTGAACACAAAAAGGGGATTAATAAGAAAATAGCTGAGGGCTAGCACAGGTCTTGTCCCCTGAATAGAGTCTAAGACACAGCCTTATACCCTGGTGGGTCTGTTCTGTGCCTCTTTAGCCATTTCTGTTCTAATGGTTTGTGCTAATGTGGGCTGGAACAAATGTAATGGATGTAGGGAGTAGGAAAAAAAAAGCCCCTTCTGTTCTAATGTTCAGTTTAAAGTGATTTTCAGACAAAAAGAAAGCTGAATATATAGTGCACAATACAGTTCTAGCTAAGGTAAGGAGCTGGCTTGGAAGAGAAGGTGGCTGAGACTGAAAGCAAACACAGCGCAAGAGAAATGTGAAGGGCTGTTTTATAAACTGTGTACTTCTTCTGCTCTGTCACTTTATTCATAATTCTCTGTCTTTAAGGTAAATATACATACAGCATGGATATTTTTTTTCCATTTTTCTTTTGCCATTTGTATACTTTATGCAAACCATTTCTTTTCAATAGTGTTTTGCCTTTCTTTCCATGGCAACAAAGAGCCAAGGCTCCTTTGCTAAAGCAATGCAGTCCTTCACACAACATCCTCTCTGTGCTGAGGTGGGGACAAATCCACACCTGGGGTTAGCACTGCTGACATCCCTGACCAATATTGATGATAATGAGGCAGTTCCTAGCAAGGCATTATTAATAAGATGGTGTCACCCACAGCAAGTGATGCTCTAAGTTTTATTACACTAAGTCAACCTTAAAATTTTCAAATCATTTACAGCTTTATCACACTTTTTCAGGAGTTGTTATTGCTCAGCCATTCTTCCTTTTCATCCTCTCAGCTTCTCAGATGAGAAAAGATCTTTGATGCTTCCATTTTCTCACTCTGTGAATGGATCAAAGAGCCCAAAATGCACAAGGCTTTGAAACAGGAGGAGCCCTGGAAGAGGGAGATTACAGTCAGATAGAACACACTGGTCTGGTTCTCTAGTTGATATTTGTGAGCATGAAAGCATTAGGGACAAGTAACAAGGGCATTTTTAGATAAAATATTAAAAGTAATAATAAAAAAGTTAATTTTGTCCTAAATACCACTGTAATATTATGTCTTGCAGTGAATTTCTAACTATTGTGAAGTGCTAATCAGTTTTCTTTCCTGCCAAAGGATCCATAGTCTAAGGAGACTCTTGAGTGGCAGCCTAGATATGAGAAATGTTATTTGAATTAGGCATTCTTATCCATGTTTATAGTACTTTCCAGAGGCTCTCTCTCACTTTTAGGCCTTCTTCACAAAAGCACATGCAATAAAAATGTTACTGCTGCCAGCTTGTATGCCTGAAAGGTCAATTCTTCTTTTTGTTCTAACTTTATCAGTTTCTTTAATAAAAGATATTAACTCTCTTCACAAACCTGTCTCACAGAGAGAAGAAAAATATCCCCAGCTCCAAAGAAAATATCACTTCTATTTAATGATTAAAACAAATCAGTGTGAGAGAAGACATAAGGCAGCTACTAGAAAATTCTGGTGAGTAGCAGGCTATAAAAACTTCACTTTTCTGGCAAACCTGAAAGTTTTTGTTTTGGTTTCTTAGTAAAATTGAGCACAATAGCGCAAGAAGTATTTTAAGGCCAGGGCTCATACATTAAGAAAAAAATCCTCTCTGGGAGAGGAGACAACCCCAAACTCACATCTTCCCCTGCTGGAAAGGACTTGTAGAGCAAAGTCACCTTTGCTGAGGTGACCTTGGGGCGGCAGCACTGGATTTACCAGGGGAAACTGATGGGAGAGCACTGCCTAAGGCCTCAAAATGAGCACACATCAAAATCATAGGAGATTATTACCAATGAGATCATTCTAATACTAGTAATTTAACATGATTAATAAAAAACAACAGTAATTGCATTTACATAAAATATAACCACTGTGGTATTAAAATAGTGATTTTTTCTAAGAAATATGTAAGTAGTTATTACTAATTAATAGTAACAAACAGAAACCATTGCAATTCCACAAAATGTAACAGTAATTAATAGTAACAAATTCAATTACATTCCTATAAAATGTAACAGCTATGGTAGTACCATAATAATTAAGACTGTATAGTAGTAACAAACAAAAATTATTATATTTTTATTAAATGTTGCAGTAATTAATACTAATTAATAGCAACACACAGAGACCATTACATTTCTATAAAATCTGATGGTGATTAATAGTAACAGTCATTACATTTCTATAGATATAATTGTACAATGTTTAATCATTACGGTTCTAAAAAAAATATAATATTTTCAAGAGCCTGTATTAAAAAATATAATATTTTTAAGAGCCTTTTAAAAAATATATAATATTTTTAAGAGCAATGCTAATGAGATGTTAGCCTAGTGGAGGTAACCAGACCTGTGGTGTTTATACGTAGTAGAACACAAGTTTTTGTTCTGAATTTCCCAGTTCCAATTCTGAGCTAGTGCATTTTTGTTCCAGGTTCGGCATTTAAATTCCACCCCCTCTGGCTGGGAATATGAGAGAAGTTATCCCTGTGTGACAGGGAGGAGCCAAGCCTGTGCAGGCTTCATCAGCACAGTGTGCTCTGCATGGTCACTGCTTGATTATTCAAAGGTGTTTGTGGAAAATAAGTCTAAAGTTCAGCTTTGGGGGCTGATCATTCTTTCTGCACCATTTAAGCACATCATCTCATTTCTAAATGGTGCTGATTACAACAATTCACAGGCAAGCACAGTCATTTTCTGAATGGAAGGGTGAGAGAAGTGTGACCCTGTCACAAAGCAAAGCCCACGCTGCAGTGAGCGCTGCTAACACGAGCTGCAGGCTTGGGGGGAGCCTGGTTCCATGTGTGATTAAATGCGTCTCATTGGTATAATGCCTTCACATTTAAACAGCTTAATTTTTAAATCACCAGATAATTGTGTAATTGTGGTGTTTCTGTTGCCTGTGATGAATCAGGGTCTCCTGTCTAATGGTTCTGTGGAAATAAAATTGCCTGAAAGCAGCCTCTGTTGTGTGTTGTCAGTGTGGGGCAGGTAGATGATGTTTGACTTGGCAAATGCACCTGCAGCCACCAGGCCCACTTCACTCCTCATTCCAGGAAGGACATTATCATGACTTCTTCCATGTGCTTCCACAGGCCAGTCAGCTGCTTCTGATTTCTCCTTGTAGCCGTTCTTTTTGAGGATTTTGCAGCTGGGAAGCTGCAGCATTGCTGTCAAAGGAAGGTCAATCCATTACAGACAGACCTGTTGGACTCTCCTGAAAAATATATACCTAAAGTATTTTGAATAAACAAGCGCGTCTCAGTGTTCTTTTGTGTCTTCACATTTCACTGAAACACAAGCCATTTGCTAAGCACATATAATTTGAGTTGAACTGGTATAAATGCCTGTCAAAGATAGGGATAACACCAAGGATGATAAGGAAAAAACAGCTAGATGTTACCAATTAAATACAGCTGTAGATTTGGGAGAAACAGCTGGGTTTGTACAAACAGTCTGTTTGTGCTTTGCTTCCTCATATAGAATCTCCAGAGCCAAAAAAAACCCACAAGTAATTATGGCCAACTTCAGGTCATCTTTAATTCTTTCACTTCACCAAAATGGGACTTGGCACACAATTTTCAAATGTAGCCACAGCCTACAGTGAAACTGCTCTGCCCGAGGCTATGGGCTCTGCTGAAGGCAAAGGAAAGAGGGGCAGAAAAATGTGAGTTCAGGCAAGCAGAAAGATTTGATGTGTCCCCTGTGCCTGCTCCCAGGGAGGGCTGTGTGCCTCACAGGTGCAGAAAATTATTTGAGAGCAAAGATGGCACAAAACCATGCCCAGTAAGCTCCTGAGAATTTGACTCCAGCTTCTCATGAAGGGTGATTTCTATTCTATTCTATTCTATTCTATTCTATTCTATTCTATTCTATTCTATTCTATTCTATTCTATTCTATTCTATTCTATTCTATTCT